GGGTCGATGGGCCCGTTACGCGCGCGTCACCCCTTCTGGCGCGCCCGGCCGTCTCAGCCGGTCGATGGCCGGCCACCCCCGCCGCCGCCGACGGGCTGCCGTCGCGGTCGACGACCCGCGTGCAGGAGCGTTGACCGCCGCTCATGGCGTGCCCGCTACCTGCCCGCGGGCGCCGGGTAAGAGGGGGGGGGGCGCACAGGTGGCGCTGGGGCGCCCGCGGCGGCCGGCGACCCCGCCGGCTGAGCGCTGACCCCCGGAAGCCCGGGTCGCGCCCAAAACGGACGCGCTGCCGCCTGCCGAGAGATGAATCTCCTGTCAGCGCTGCCTGGGGACGGAGTTGTACCGAAATGCTCTCCCGATGTACCGGCGAGGAGGGACGGCCAAAAACCCGCTCCGCACGTCCGCTTGAGCTGAACCAGTGTAGCGCGTGCCCCATTTGTTCGCCGGACCCCTCTGTAAAAGACGCCGCTTGTCACTCATCGCCCCGTTGGACCTCATGGGCCCAGGGACGCGTCCCTCGCCGCTCTCCCCTTACTCTGCGGCCCGCATCAATATCCATTCACACACACACGTCCTCGTCAGCTGACGCAAGACTTCCGCATTTAGATGCGCTCACGCAGCGCCCGGAGTATTGGGTACGCACTAGAGCTGCAGGGTATCGAACCCGAAAGCCCGGTGGTCACCGTGGACGGAACAGTGGCACATAAATACTTGACAGCGATACAATAGTTCACCCTAGCCACACAAATACCACCCTTGCACTATTTGCACCGTGGTGACCTCAATATTGTGGGTGTTTCGTCGGCTGGCCGGGCTTTGTCGATGCTCGATGCGGCGGCTCTAGCGGCTGTGCGGGAAGGGAGGAGCGCGGCGCTCCCCTCGCGGCGCTCCGGTTGTTGACCCGCGCGCCGCCAGTGTGCGACCGGGCCGGGCGGCTGCCACTGGTCGGCCACACACTCGCATGACACGCTGAAAAAGGCGGCGCCGGTGCGTGGTGCAGTGCGTGCTGCGAGTGACCGGCTGCGTGCGGCGGCGCTGCAATGAACGGCCGCGGCCCGGCCGGCGGCGGCCCGGCCCAGTCGACCAGTGTCAACGGCCCGGAGCGAGGTGAGTGACCGGCCGCGCCGGTTCCGGTTCCGTTATGTTGACGCCGGCCGCGGGGCAGGGGCGGGGTGTGTGCGGTGCGGAAGTGATCTCGGCGGGGTGTCTATGGGGTTCGGTGACGGGAGCGGTGTGGCAGGCCCCTCTGTTGTGGACGAGGTGCGATGTTTCGGACATTGATGGAGCCGGGTCGTTCAACCGGCTGCAGGGACACCGACCGAGCGCGGTTTACACGGTTTTCAGCTGTGATCCTGCGATCATACACCGGTAGTGGTTTCAGCGACTGGCTGCACGGTGGGATTTCCCACAGCTCGTGATGTTTGCTCTCTTCAGAGCTGACCAGGATTCCGAGACATTCCTTCGTATGGACGAAATGATAATGCGTTATCGGACTATTGCACGGCGATTGTGGCGCAGTTAATGTCAACTTCCGGCTCGTTGAGACACGTGTAGCGGTAACATTGAAGTATGCTGCAAACTGATGCCATCAACTGAAGTAGACGTTTTATCAACTCGAGATTTATTATTGCGTGTCGAAGCCTCCCATTGAAATCGCATTCAAGAAATCGCATCGTATTGCGCACTGGCTATTCAAAGCCAACTTGATACATATGGTACATATGTGTAACAAGGGAATATTTTACCTGAAATGCTACAGTTATAAAACCATATTTTTGGTTTATAGCCTACCGTTCTCCCTTTTGGATGTTTTGTTTTATTTGCAAGACCAATAGGTATTTGATATTTTCAACAATGAAAACAAAATAAACAGCGAAGATGGCCCTCGCTGTGAGTTTTCCATAAAAGCTCGGTCCCAACTCCCAGCTTCCGTTCCGGGAAAAGGCACAGGCGACAAGAACTGTGTGGTCTAAGAACCTACCATACCTAATTCCCACCTAGGTTCCGAGAGTAGAGAAGGGGTGTCTACCGTGAAATGCATTCGAACAGCATTCCTCGAATGAATCGTAAACGTTACTATAAGTTCATTATACCTATCACTTAACCTGCCTATGTCTACTTTTACTGTTGAGCATTTTCAAGTGTTCGTCTTTTACGAAATTAGTCGCCATGATTTGATACAAACTATTTAATTCAGCCTGTACCATCGGATCAAAAGTATTGTCGCAAAATTATTTTTGCGCAAGCTACCTACCTGTCACTTTCCGTCTCGATTTTTGCTAACAATATGCCAAGTTCAAGATGTAAGAATGACATCTTATGGTATGACATAAATTATGATCAATGTTTTCAGAAGACAATTTACATCCGGACTGAAGTCCAACACAAATTTCTTTGTCTAAATATAACCATGCCGGCCAAACAAAGGGCCCAAATTTAGGACGAGACCTTCATTCTGTGCCTCAACAACAAATCCTTCAACTGTGAACACCCAACACCAGTTATGTTTATAACAGGGACGTCGCCGACTTCAGGACAGACTGGGTCGCCATCTGTGCGTCCCGCGGACCACCCACCCCTGCTGCTATTCCCTCCCCTCCTTCGGCGGCCACCCTCGCCCCTCCCCTTCCTCTTCTGTGTGCGGGGAGAGGGTGATTGACAGAACCCGCCCTGCTTCCCTCGCTGTACTTCTGGACGTCGATCTCTGCAGCAAGCCTGCCTTTCCGTCGGTCGAGGCCAGGTCCCGACCTTCTCTACCGCTTCCGTCGCGCCGCCGCCGCCGCCGCAGTCGACCGCTGCCGGGCCTCGGCGCGCCACCGAAAGTGAAACCGCGTCATCGTGCGCGGCGGATGACGCAGCCGGGCCGCTTTCTCGGAAGGTGCGGGTGACGGTGCCACCGGCCGGGCTGGGCATGGCCCGGTGGCGCAATTCTACCGCTTCTCGTAGATGGGTGTGCGATTCAGCTGAATACTACGTGCATGTGTTTGTTGCAACATAGGCGTACCGGTAGTAAATTAATTGCTGAAGATTTCTCTGGATTCTGAAGAACTGCGTGGGATAAATTCAGCTGTGAAAGTATGATACTAGTACCATTGAGGATTTATTTACCGCAAACAACAAATCGCTACGGCTCTTCATTGCGACCGGCGAAAGTGATTAAAAACAACAGTTTGCAAATAACTTGCCGTCGAGAGCTTTATGATCATCTTTCACCCAAACTACAAATTATCGAGACAAAACTGTGCACCATCCGTTTCGTTTCTGGTTCGCACCTTGCTGTTGCGGTTGCTAATCTGCCGAATATTTGCGTTGTGGCTCCGTCTGGAGGTGGCATTCCATGGCCGGGCACGGAAGAGCCGTGTTCACCGCCCGGTCGTTGAACCGAGAGATACCAGCAGCTGCAGCTTTCACTGCGAGCGGTCACATTGGAGCAGCGACTGCACGACTGCTGTGTATTCTTTACCGATTACCTGCAGCTTTCCTTTTGTGGCGGCGCTCACAACACGAGCGGCAGATGGGCATGTAGTAAATTCGGAGAATCGTACAGCTCAAAGTGATTTGTAATTGAAGAAACATTTTCACTTTCTCACGAAGGGAACTTTTATTTTCTGATATTTGATTGTTTTTGGTCGAAAAATCTTTGGAACATTGAGCTAGGAGTATCTGATTTAAATGTTGTAAATGCAAATTTGTAAGTGTAAATGTATTTGTTGTAAATGTAAATTTTCTAACCTATAACACTTCCTATATTTTTACTTATTAAGATGCTAATTTGAACAGTGCTTCCGTTATCTAAGAAGATTTCACGCCCAAGGCATCTGCCCGTCTGCTTGGATACTTTTGTCCTTTGTGTTGGTGGTAAGGCTTTGTTTGGGAATTGGTCGAATTTACCGTGACCCAACGGCTTATATTATTATGTTTCATCGTTCTTTTCGTTTTAGGTCAAGTATGGATTAACCGTATCCGCACATGTCGCGAATTGTACCGTAACGTAAGGCACACGTTGTCCGGCCAATGTTATTGTCCGTTTCATCTCAAGTAGTGACTTTCTTTTTGATAAAATAATTGAATTAAGTTAACCGGCTCGGCTAGTGACGGTGGTCGAAATGATTAGTGCCCCGGGCTGTCACTGGTAGCCGCAGCCATTACCACGGATAGAGTGTAGACCTCTGGCTTATGTCACGGTCCGAGGCCGCTGTTGTCCGTATAACTACCCCTGGGTTTACCCGGCTAGTCGTGAGGACCACTGCGTCTGGTCTCAGTAGTGCACTGTCGCAGTGACGTTCAGAACATTCCCTGCGCTCCCCACCAGCTCCGTTGACTTGCTGGTGTCACCGGTGACAGGGCTGGTGGGTGACGCGGCTGGGGGGGGGGGGGGGGGCTGAGGGCAGCTGGTCGGGCAGCTTGTGAGTGCCGACGTGCCAGCTCCAGAGCTCTGGATGACCGGCGCCTGGAGCGGGGCCAGCCGGCCAGCGCCGCAGCTGCTCCCCTCTGCACAGTGGCCTTAGAGCCGTGCCAAACCAGCAGTCCGATCTGATGGCCGCGCCGCGCAGCAGAGAACTGGGATTCATCCCAAGAACGCCGGCGCGCCGACCCCGTGCCGCCAGCCGCTGAGTAATGTTGAGCTCTCAGGGTCGCCGGTTTGAGGTGCAGGATTCAGAGCGGGGACTGGCCTCGGGGCTGTGTGCGCAGTCCGACCTCAGATGGGCACAGATGTTCGCCGGATGCCGACGGCGCGCCGCAGCACGCCCGTCACCGACCGCGGCTTATTTTTATCTGACATACCGCGGAGGGCGGACTGCATGACCGGCCGCCCCCGCCCCCGCTCCCGCCCGGCTGCCACCAACTGCCGCCGACATCGACGCTCACGGGAAAGTTGGTGCGTGGGGCAGGTCGGGATCGGCCCGGTGTCGGTCGCCGTGACGTCACGCCAGTGACCTTATGACGTCACATCTCGGCTCGGCGGCGGCGGCGGCGGCGGCCGGCCGCGCGGCTGGCCCACTTCTGCTGTGAGCGCGGCGCGCGGAGGGCTGCGGCGGCGCGGCGGCGGCGAGCGATCGCACCTGCTCAGTGACCCAGTGCCGGCGCCGAGCGGCGGACAGTGAACCCGACCGGCCGAGCGAGTGGCCGACCGCCAGCGGTCACCGGCCGGCCAGCAGCGCGCACAGTTGATGTGGACCGCGGAGAACGGCTGCGGACAGAGAACGGTCTCGGCCGAGACCATGGAGGGCTATATCAAAGTCCAGAGGCCCGGGGAGCTGCATTCGGATGAGACGCTGGCGCGCTATGTCCCAGGTGAGCAGAGAACTCCGGGAACTCAGTGCAAACGGTCTGTCTATGTATATGTGCAGTGCAGAAGACATTCCACATCGCCGAAGTTTGCTCTATTTTAGTTGTTGACCCTGCCGGATGCTGTTCTTTGGTGCAGAGTTCATGCGGGGAAGTTATGCACACTGCTCAGAAGCTGTGCCCGCGGGATAACTTGGATAGCTCTTAGATGCTGACTTGTTGAATTTGCGGATGTAGGTGTTTTATTCGAGATTGGCTTGCGGAAATTATTTGCATTATAAATGGTCATTAAATTGATTTTCATTGACCCCTCTCTAGGCATTTGACTCTGACATCATCATCAGGAATCTGCCATTGCAAACAAAATTGCCAGGATGCTAGAGTACAAGCGCCTTTTTTTTCATTCCCGGTGAGGACTAGACATGAACAGCAATAATGATATCAGTTGGGTATTTTTCACCCACCTGCCGGATGTTGGTTTCTATGAACTATCAACTAACCATTTAAAAAATCACACGCTCGCGGTTGTATCGATATCATAGAGTTGTAAACGTACCCAATGTGCATCATGCGTGTTTACAAGAGCAGCAGTTGCCTTTGTCGAGCTGTGCCAACTACATTTCGAAACTCATCTGAGCCGCCATCTCTACAATTGACCTATATTTGATACCGATCTCTTTTTATTTCTTCGATTGGCTTACACTGTTATGTGTATCCTTAAACGCACTGTGTGCTGCTACATTATGCAATATCCCCAACATACGCACACCGGATCACAAGTCTCCCGGCTCACCCATCTGGAACACTTCGGGTCTTCCACCCGTCCGGCCGGCTCCGGTCGGGCGTTAACCCCAGCCGCGGCGGGGACCGGGTTAACCTCGTTCAGCCCGGGTCATGAGGTCAAGGGGCGGGGCCAGCCGGCCGCTCAGCTGGCTCGCCGGCGCGGGTCAGGGGTCGCCACAGGTGGGGAGGGACGCGGCCAGCCGAGCTGCTGAGATGACGTGCGGAGGGGGATTGGTTCAGCGGTGTGAACCGGATGTTCAGAGACGGCAAGATGTGAATGCAGGTTGAAGATACCTCGGTGAATCAAACAAAGGCAAATAGGGAATGAATCCCTTTTAAATAACTCTTTCACGAAACATTTGGTAGCATGGATCTGGCCAAATGGAGCGAAATTCCGAATTTTGGGAATTCTTGATAGACATATTCGCTGGCCACGCCCATCGCCGTCTTTCTGGATCCGCCATCGCGGTTGGACTGGCTGACCTGAGCGCTGGCCGTGCTCTGCTGCACCCTCCGATAGCACAAGGACTGTTTGATTTTGAGGAGCGGTGCCGTCCTGCAGTCCTGGGCGACTGGCCGCCCCCCCCCCCCCCCCCGGGCGAGTCTGCAGCCGCGGCGGCGCGGGTTCAAAGTCCGAGTCATGACGTAGCCCGTGTGCTATTTTCAACGGCTGCGAGCGTCCGTCTGCCCTGTATCCGGGCTGCTGGGCTGACGGGCGCACCGCCTCCCGCTGGGCTGTATCGGCCTACAGCGACACCAGGTTTGAATGGAATTTACCGCCACCCTGACCGGCAGTCGGCCGGCCGACCGGCTCACCGGTGCATCATGAGTTCGCCAGATGCCTTTCACTTGTGAGATTCTATGAAGGCACCGCGCGTAAGTGCTGTGTTGCCCAATTTCGGACTTGTTTTCGGAAGGCGTTTCACTGTGTGTTGGCTGTGAGACGTTCCCAGATACCCCGGTTTGACGCACGGGGAAACCCACGGCGTAGTGGCCGGGGTGGGGGTGGGGGTGGGGTGGGGGCGCCATCGACCCGGTCCGCGTACGGCCAGCGGGGGAGTTTCCACCGTCCTCGGGCGGGGGCGGCGGCGGGGCGGCCGTACCCTGCACTGACGGCCCCAGCTGGTTGGTACAGACCCGCGCTGGTATGCCGGCGAGCTGGTGATGGCGAGTTCGTACCCCATGCCCCCATCTCCGGCGTCCCTGGCTCCCCTGGCCGGCCAGCTGCACCGCGGGCCGCCGCTCTGGCTCCTCACTGCGCGACGATCTCAGAGCTATCTGGCGGCTCTGACGCGTCTTTGTGAGCCCTCAGCTGAGCATGGCCGGCCGCGGCGGGCGGGGGAACGGCCGACCTCCGCACCGACCCTCGCAAGTAGGCCAGCGGGCCGCCGCGCCGCCGCCCGCCGACCGGCGCGGGCGGGCGGGCGGCGGGCGTTTTTCCCGCGTGGCCCGCTCTCGGTCCCGTTAGCTGGGTCGGGGCGAGGGTCGAGGGTCACGACATGACCGGACCGTAGGCCGACCACCGCCCCTGAGCTGGAGCGGTACGGCACGGCGCCAGACACGGCTCGACAGCCGGGATCCAGCTGACCTGGCGCGCGGCGCACGACCGGCCGCTGTGCCCCGTGAATGGAAGGGACACAACCCGCCCGAGCTGCAAATCAAGGCTGCTCAGCGGCGAGCTGCAAGGCCAAAGTAGCGGCGGCCTGACGCCCTCCGACACTGGAAGACGGCTATCTCGAGACCTTGTGCTTCCAGCCGAGCCGCACGCACTGGGCCGCCGTGAAGCGACTTGCAACCCTTGACTTGTTTATTCCTTCATGATTTGCGGACAAAAACGTTTCCTGGTTCGTCGTGAATAGCCGGGTGGGTTTTTGCACCGATTGTTGGCCTTGCACGCCTGTCTTGCACGGAGGTCACTGTGGCCGCAGCGACCCAGCGTGAGTGGATACCGCCCTTGTGGCCGCACGCACGCCGAGATTCTTGATTGCTTTGGCAGTCTGACCGCAACAGAGGGGGGTATATATTGCGGAGTCCTTTCAAATTTACTCAGTTTAATTTCTTTGGATCAGATATGTTAACGGCAAATGTGGCGCTATAAATGTTTATCACTTGAACCGATGAAGGAACGCCTCCGAAATATATTCAAGTGTTTTTGGTAACTTTTGGCAATTTTTAGAATTTTCAACAGAAGGTTATTCCATTAAATATATTACAGTATAATTTCTTGTTCGTGCGCTGGTCGTCAGCCGGTAGCCCAATATGGAAGCTAGACATTAGTGCCTCATTCAACCGGATCTATCGACAAAAATCTTTTAATTTGCATTGTATGCGGTCAGTATCAATGATCTACCTAATGCTACTCTGCGGTTTGGCTTCACCTCGTCGCGTGTTATCGCTCTTGCCATTTTCGGAAGCCGGTCCTGTGACTCGCCAGATGTGCGTCGAAACTGATGCAAGCGCTATTGATTGCTCTGAACGACTGCAATGGACGGGACCGACTGCGCCGAAATTGCAATCTCCGCTCCCACTCCTAACGACGCACTTGGCCGCGCCGCGAGCCCGGGGGAGGCCTTCGAGCTGCGGGAGGGGAGCGCGCGGCGCGGCCGCCCTCTAACGGGATGACGCGGGGAGGCGGCAGGGGAGGCGGGCCGCGAGGGTGTCAGCGAGGCACTATTGACCCGCTGCCAGCGGTGCAGTGGGAGACCTGTGTCATCCCACCCCGCGGCGGAGAATCGATCGCGCCTCACGACACCGCCGCGCTTCCGGAATGTGCGTGCCGCCCGGAAGTGGCGGTCGGTGGAGATGACGGCGGCTCGGTGGGGCGGCGGCGGCGGCGGCGGCGGCGCGGCAGAAGCGGCGCACAGCCGGTGGTCGCGCGCCGCCGCGCTGCGCCGTTTTTGCCGGCAGCGCGGCTGACATGTGCTGGCCTTGCCGGCCATTGCGTCGTGTCGGAAGTGCGCCAGTTTTTGTCGTTGTTGGCCCAGTTTGGCGCGTGCAACATGCTGGTGTTTGTGACGTTCTGGCCGGCGGCACCGTGACGGCGGCCCGCCCCGCGAAGGACACTTCGGCGCCGCGCCCGACACTGACACTGCTGACACCGGACGGTGATGTGTCTGACACAGACACTGACACCGGGGAGTGACCATCGGCCGACGGTCCTGGCACGCTTACACAAACATACGGTTGAAATTGCTTTGTTTTAAGCCTGTTCAAGCCATTATCTTCATCAACAAAAAGAGCATTGTGCCCCACGAAGTCGCCGACATTTGTCGTCAATGAAAATAATGATGTAGGAAGTAACATGAGAAGCACTATTTGCGCGTTTATTCCCCTGCACTCCACATTGTCCAGCAGCCTGATATGCCCGGCCGCTGACTGCTCCAGCAGCCTGATCTGCCCGGCCGGTGACTGCTCCAGCAGCCCGATCGGCCCGCCGCTATCTGCTCCAGCAGCCCGATCTGCCGGGCCCAGCAGCCTCAGTCTGCGGGGCCGCTGACTGCTCCAGCAGCCCGATCGGCCCGCCGCCGCTGACTGCTCGCTGCTCGGTCGTTGTTCGCCCTCGGTGCCGGGACGCAGCCGGCTGAATGTGCTGTTTCTCAACTGACCAGAAAAACGGCTGCAAAACGTGGCCTTCGAGCCGCACAAGGCAACCCTCCCTCCGGCTCTCCGTCCTCGTCTCTCATCCTCTCTCCGTGCTCCGTCACTCTCTCCAGCTAGACGGCCAAATGATTTCAGATTCCCTGTCTTTGTGGCAGAAATCGAACAACGAAATGTGGATGGTTAATTTGAGGCTTAGAAATTGGCTAATCGAAACTGAAGACACCTAAAAGACGCGTTTTGTTTATCACTTATCATTGTTACCTTTGTTTTCTATGTAGAACAGCTTGCCAAGGAAAAATGGAAGTTCTTTTACACTATTGATAATACTCCATTCTGCATTCTTCACATCTTCATATGCTGTATGTCTGCTCCCTCTTGCTCAAACGGATGTGTCGAGCCGAAGAACGGACCCCAGACCTCGATGGCCACAGGTGTCTGCACCGAACAGTGGCCCGGAACTCCCGGCCCGGCGGTGACTCTGTCCACGTCTGAAGACGGTACGGCCGACGTATCCGCCTCGTCTTCCCCATAGGAACCATAGAGCTGGTGAAGGCGATTAGCGCCCCAATAAAACTGTCAGCCATGAGCGGCCTTAGCGCTGACAAATGCTCCACGCTCCCGGT